TCTATCTATCTATCTATCTATCTATCTATCTATCTATCTATCTATCTATCTATCATTTTCAGTTAGCCACCAGGACCTGCCACTGTCCTCCGCTCATGTCTGGGCTATGTCCTACCATAGTTCAGCTAAACAACCAAAAAGCATGCTCACTGTCTTGATCCTTACCATCTGTTGACTTCAAAGGGCCAGGCTGACCTCTGCAGCCAACGAACCTCACCTTGATCTTTACTCAAAACCCTCAATAGCTTCACCCCGTGACGCTTAGGTCTGGAAAGCCAGAGCACTCAGGACATGTGGAGAGAGGTGAAGCTTGAAGACAAAGCTATGGAGGCTGGAGGGGAGGCCAGCTGAAGGCTTTTATATAGTGTATAAAGGAGTTTGGAGTTCTGGGCTCTCAAGAATGGTAACCACCAGCCACATTAGTTACTGCATGACTACTTATATTCCAGTCACTCGCCAGGGCCGCCATATTGGATCACATACCTACAAATGATGAATTTAATGAAAGGATGATGTGGCCTGTGCTGGGTTGGGAGACGCAAGCAGTGAGGTAAGATAAAGGGAGGCGAAGGCAACTACAAGAATGTCTATCGGTGTTGGGGACATGCTTGTGCAAACAAGGAGAAGACAGGCTTGGAGCAAAAGGGTGTGACAGAAGAGTGTGATATGCTTTCATTTAAGTGTCACAAAATGTTTGGGAGTGAGTTGCAACCCACATTTGCAGTTTTAGAGAAAGTTTAGAGAAACTGGAGCTGAAAGCCAGAAAGCCACTAGCACCATGGATCTGTCCAGATAGTTCACTGGGAAAAATAAGAACACCTGGTCTGGGGGGCTGGAGAGATGGCTCAGGGGCTAAGAGCATCGTCCATCCTTCCAAAGGACTCAATTCCCAGCACCCACATGGCAGCTCACAACTGTCTGTGACACCTTCACACTAATGCACATAAGGTGAAGTTAAATAAATTAAAAAAAAAAAAAAAAGAACGCCTGGGGACAGTGGACAGTGACAGGAGGCATTGTGCAGCCAGCCAGGCCACACGGTGGCTGATTTGTGGAGAACCAGAACTTCCAGAGCATGCTGCTGTTCTGAACAACCCTGTCAGAGCAGGATAAGAAAACAGCAGGCATCGAAGCCCATGCTGTCACCCGCCAGCTTAACCCTCGCCCTGACTCTGAGTTTTTAACCCGAGTCCTGAATTCCCAGAGGGTGGAACAGGTGGGACAGAGAGACCAAATACCAGTGACTCCACGGATTCTTAGATCATGGCGCAGGACCGTCTCCAGCTTCCGTAACCAGTGAATGTTTTCGCTTGACTTACTCCAATTGAAAAAAAAATACATATTTTATATGATATTTTCACAGATGGAAAATAACTGATGTTAAAAAACTGGCAGATATCAAGGTATCAAACATTAACCTAAACTACAGTTTTATGTAATAAAATGAAAACTATAAGAAGATAGAAAAGAGGGGTGGGGGGGAAGAAAGGCGACCAGGACAGCAGTCTTCAAATTACAGTTTAACAGGAGGAATGCTCTAGAATCCAACAGCACTGTGGTGTAACTACATTGTTTGTTGTATGAGAGTTAAAATAGTGAGTTCACATTTTTAAATGTATTATGGATAGGTATATGTGCAGATGCCAGAGGACAACTGGGTTTCTAAAGCTAGTGTTTGTGTTACAATCAGCTTCCTTGTGATTTTGAGGTGGCCACTGTTTTCTCCCGTGGCTAATGCAAACTAGGTAAGTATACTTACCTGCCTTTTTTTTTTTTCTTTAAATCCATGAAATCTCATTACTCTCTCTCACAAGTTCTCATCTCCTTACTTCTTTTTCATGCACCTCCTTATTTTGTCTACCTCAAGAGAGTTCTTTTCAGAATTCTAATGGATTTGTGCCAACTTCCAAACACCAGAACTTACCTGTAGTTACGGGGACTGTGGTGGTGACGGGCGTGGCTGTGGTTGTGGGAATTTTTTTTGGCCTGAATTTGTAGTGTCCAATGAATCCATCTGCTGTCAAACTTAAGTCTGACAAAAACTGAATGAGGAGTTCGTTTCTCTCGGACACGATTGGCCTAGGAGAGAAACATGTTTAAAGTTTACGTGAAGCCTCTCTGAAAATTTCAAGTCTAGCTCTCAATTCATTTTTGATGGTAGATTAGCAACTTGTTGAAAACCAAAAATTCAAAACACTTGAAATAAAAAAAAAAAGAAAGAAAGAAAAGAAAGCCCTAACACCCCATCTTCACAAGGACCCTACTATCGTCTCTTTTTACGCAAGGGGCAACTACACCTAGAACTCAGTGATCTTCCCACAATCCTGTGGTTGGCATGTAGGAGTCAGGATTTGAACCTAGGGCCCAGGGACTCTGGTGACAGTGGAAGACACTGGGACCAGTGTGAACACTGACGTCGAGGCTGTTTCCCACAAGCCCCTGAGGCTTTGCCTGACTTTTGACTCTGAACTAAGTCTGTAATTGACGTCAGCTGCTGGCGACAGAGAATTTGAGGGTCAGATCTGATGACAAAGAGGGCTCAGAGACAGCACGTTTTGGTGTTTAGTGGAAGGTCTGATGCCTGCAATGGCCCCATTTCTATTTATAGTCTCCACCAGGGAAGCGGCTGGTGAGGGAAGAGAGCAGGTGACTACTGACAGGGAGTCAAAGCGCCGTTAGGAACTTGACTACTGACAGGGAGTCAAAGCGCCGTTAGGAACTTGATGGTTAGCTGGGACTACAGGGCTAGAGGGACACTAACCAAACCTCAAAGGCCGCTGATTCTTAGCGTATAACTGCAGGAAGTGTCCATTTCACTTGAGCTGCTATTGTTTTTTTAAAAATGGTAAGAATGCTCTTTGGTTTAAAAAAAAAAAAACAATTCATAAGCAGAAAAAGATTAAACGAGCTATTTCATTGAATTAGTGATTTGCTGAAACTCCTCTTCTGGGGCATCCCTCTATCAAAGCACGTGGGCCTCTCATCGGCCCCTAATGAGCAGCTTCTGTTCCACCTGCTGTGAACAGGCAGATCCATACTTGAGCAAACCAGCTGGGAGAACAGAATGTCTTCTGTCTTGAGGAGCAACCTTTTTAACAAAGTGTGGGACCAACAGAAGCAGGAGCCTCATGACCTACGTCTATATTTCCTGTCATCGAGGCAACTGGAATCGTGGAAATGATGCTTCAGAGATTCAAGCTTTCAACAGATGTATTTTAAATCACCTACACACAATTTTAAAACTTCCCTATACACAATTCTTGCCAACAAAACATGCTAATCTTGTTTAAATGATAAAACTGCAACAAGTGCTTTCTATAGGCAGCAAGGGAAATCCAGTCAGGCTGGACTTCTATAAAGGTGCTTGTCATTCTTGTGACCACGCCCTGACTTGTATATAACTGGGCAACGTTATATCAGAAATTCTTTTTTTTTTTTTTTCAAAGATGAGAATTTTAGTAACAGAAGTAGATTTTAATTGTGGCACTTTGAGGAAACACAACAGACTCACAGTGCGGGGAAGGCCAGGTGCTGCATCTGCGAGTTGATGTTATGAATGACTAGGAAGGGGAGACGGAATCGCACCCAGAAATTGATCAAAAGGCCGGCTGGGGAGGCCGTGAGCCAATAGAGGTAGCTGCCTCCAGCTTTAACCTCCGCAGTCTCTGCTCGCTACTGCCAGCCAGCCACCTTGACTGCTATTTTGATCTCCTAAATATTTCTTGATCTAAATTGTCTTCTCTATCTCTGAAAAGCCTCCGATGTAACATGCTGCAGTGACATTTCTTTGTGTTACTGTGTGTCTGGGCCGGCGAGCTTCCTGGCGGCCTGTCTCTGCCTCTCACCTCACTCATGCTGAACTGCAAGCATGGGCCACGGTGACTAGGTTTTCTGTTTATGGGGGCTCTGAGGTTCCAACTCACGTCCTCACACTTGAGGAAGGAGCACATCTATCAACTAAAACCACCTCTCCAGCCGGGAGAGTGATTTACTCAAGGAAGGATTCTTTCATAACAAAGATTTTCTTCTCTGCCTTGTTGGCTTTACCAAGGCCACAACAACAGCCTTCCTGTTCATCCTGTCCAGATGTGGAACCCAGAACCACTGGGCACATCATCCCATGTCTCAGTGCACACGTGGCGGGGGGGGGGGGGAAGGGTCCGAACTCCACAGGATGTAGAGCTCAACACATTCTTCAGCCTTATTTCTCTCCAGGTTCCAGCTCAATGTCCAGGTGTCAGAAGCAGCATAACGAGGCCACCCTCCCCTCTGCCTCTCCCCAACCTTCCTTCCTTCAGTAGCCGTTCTCTCCAAACCCTTCCTCTGATGAAAGCCTGGTGTTTTCCTTTTTCAGTATCTTATAGCTAAGACATTCTTTGCTGTCGTGTTGATATTATAATGAGTCTGGGAACATGATCAACCATTCCCTTGTTCACAAACATTGGGAAGTTTAGTTTCCCCCACCACAAATAATACTGCCAAGAAAATTCTTGCCTATGCTGTGGTGCTCCTGGGCAAAGGGTCTTCAGTTGGCACATGAGGAGGGCAGACTGTATCTATGTGCCAGGTCATTGACTACAAGGTCATGTTTAATTTTACTGTGTAGTCCCAACCTGATTTTCTGTGTGGGTTGACCAAATCACATCTTTTCAAAACCTTGCTCATCATAGAGATTTCTTCTTACAGAAATTCCTTCTCATGGTTTATTTTTTGCCCATTTTCCCCCCTATGGAGTTGTCTTTCCGTGAGTTTCCTTTAGTACATTGGACATTTAGTACATAGGACATTGTCAAATAAATGTTACAAATTCATCTCTTTGGTGTGTCTTCCCTTTTCTCATCTTTGGGGTATACAAAAATCCTCCTTTCAAATTTCTCCTTACAGTCTCGTTCCATCTGTTGTTGATCCTGGCGTGATTATAGACATGTAAGCTCATTTTGCTTTATGAATAAGTGGACTCTGCCCCCTACCCGCTTTCAGTTGGGTCTTCCTTCCCTGCTGGCACAAGGGTCTCTGTAGCGCGCACTATCTGTAGACACTCGTGGATAAGCTCCTGGCTTTTCTTCACACTCTGCTTTCCTTTCTTTCTGGTAAAATCTCAGTCTTAACCCACAACTCCCTGAGGCAGTCTCCTACCCACGGGTAGGCGAGTCCTCTCTCCATGCTTTCCTTTAGGACTCAGTGTTGTCCCCAGCACCCACAGTCTTGCCAGTCAATTTACATTTTAGAACATAGCTGACAGATCTAATACGAATCCAGTTTCATCATCGATGTCCAGCGGTGAGTCTTTCCCGTCATGAGCATTTCCCATCATTTAAGTGTTTTAAAATTATCTTCTAGTCGGATTTTATACTTTTCCATATTGACACCTAGCACACAAGTTCTAAAAATTTATTTTGGGGGGCATTTAATATGTTTGTAGCTTTAAAAATGTTTTAAAAATATGGTCAGCAGGTAAAGAAACTTGCTACCAAGAATGATGAGCTGGGTTTGAACCCCAGATCCCACATGGTGGAAGGAGAGGACCTACCCGTATTTGCAAGTTGTCCTCTGACCTCCACAGCTATGGTAAGGCATGTGTGCCCATACACACGCACACACAAAGAGACAAATAAAAAAATAAGCTGTTGAACAACTCTTGTTATTTTTTCTAGAAAGATCTATGTAAAGTTGAAACACCCGTTTCTCAGGTGCTTATAAGAACACCAGAGGAAAACCATGCTGACTTGTGTGGGGGCTGGACTGGACTGGACTGGTGATTTCCCGTTGGCCGTTGTGATGAGATGTGGGCATTTTGCCCCTCACCTCACCAGGGTCATGCCAAGCAAGGCCAGCTGCAGCCTGGGGTGAGAGGGGCATGGGGTGGGGCTAGTCTGGGAACTTGCCCTTGACATTCCCCACTGCCACTTCTGTATGTACGTGGTCAAATGTTCAGACATTGGGATGTGAAATGTTTTGTTTGCTGTCCCAGAATGCACCTTGGTAAAGGAGAACTCGAGCTATTCTTAGTATTGTGCTGTCTGATGCACTTTACTGACCTTGTTCTGCTTCCCCATTTGGGGGGTCGTAAGGAACTGTGATACTAACGAAATCTCTGGCCTGGATCATCAGCCCCTGCAGCCCTCCTTACCCCAGCTTTAAGTCTTTCATTCGGCTATTGCTTTCTTTCTTTCTTCTTCTTTTTTTTGGGGGGGCGGGGGGCCTGGATCAGACTTGTTTCTTCTGCTTCAAAGGGAAGGGAAAAAAACTCTACTGGTCAAATATCTTGAACGATTTCTGTGGCTCGTTCTTCTTCCTGCATCTATTTTGGATGACAAGGAGACGTTTTCTCTATTTGCGGGACGCAGTGCCTCCCAACCGTGCTAACTTGGGCAGCAATGGGAAAAGCCATGTCTCAAGCAGACGTCTACCAAAGAAAACATCTGGATTTGTCATAAGCTTCCAGGTTTCCTTGTCTGGAACGTTCTGGCCCCTGGCTTTCTCCTTTTTTCTTGAAAGTTCCCATTCTTCTCCATGCTTGAGCTCCTGTTGGCAGGTCTGTGACTCAGGCAAAGTATCTGTCCTGGGGCACTAGCCTTGCCTCTTTGTCCACTTGGCTCCTGGACTCAGTGTTTGGGTGGCTGTGTTTATACTGCAACTGGTGGACAGGGCTCCACTATCATGGGGCCCAAAGCTTTGTCAACAAACAACAATGTAGCGTTTTCCAGAAAGCAAAGCTAATTAGGGAATTTAGTAGGGCGTAAGTTGTACTGGCTAGTTTTGTGTGTCAACTTGACACAAGCTAGAGTCATCAGAGAGGAAGAGCCTCAGCTGAGGAAATGCCTCCTTGAGATCCAGCTGTAAAGCATTTTCTCAATTAGTGACCAATGGGGAGGACCCAGCCCATTGTGGGTGGTGCCACCCCTGGGTCCTGGGTTCTATAAGAAGGCTGGCTGAGCAAACCGTGTGAAGCAAGCCAGTAAGCTGCCCCCCTCCATGGCCTCTGTGTCAGCTCCTGCCTCCAGGTTCCTGCCCTGCTTGAGTTCCTGTCCTGACTTCCTCCAGTGATCTGGGAGTGTAAGCCGAATAAACACTTTCCTCACCATCTTGCTCTTGAAACCCTAACTCAGACATGGGTTTAGAGTTATTAAAATATTAATGACACAGCAGGTGCTACTTACGCAGGCGGACTGTCGCCGCAGTACTTTCCGATTCTTTTGGCGTCGTTGACTTCCCCACCATTGAACACGGCCACGTAGTCATAGCGGCAGTAGTTATCTCTCTCAACATCAAACTTCTCAAACTTTAACTCTATGAGCTTTGGGAAAAGCACAGCACGGAAGTGTCAATGACCCAAATAACTCCCCCTGAAACTGGTACTGCAGATCTATTATACTGTAACATGGCAACTGGGGAGGACAGTAATGTACATTTGAAAATTGCTGAGAGCACAGATTGTACACGTTGTCAGGGTGTATGAACACAAAAGTATAACTATGCTAAGCGAAAGACATGCTAATTGGTTCAACTGTAATATTTCATCATATAAGCATCGTGAAACCGTCACTGTGTCCTGTAGGTACGTACGATTTTATTTGCCAACTACACCTCACTAAAGCTGGAGAGAAAAAGGAAAAAGAGGGGGGTTCTGTCTGGATAACTGGGTGTGTGTTGGGGTGATAAAGGGACTTGCATACTAGTCCATTCTTCCCTGAAAAAGAATGAACAGAAATCAAAATTGTTATCTAAGATAATTCCCCCATATTAATTACATCTGAGTGTGGTATATGTGTGCATGGGGTGTAGTCATGAGTAGTCACGGGTAGTCACGGGTGTGTGTGCTCATGAGATGATTAGATTTCTCCTTTTCAGGGGGGATGAACATGCTTACTGCATGAAAAGGAGTCAGTCTGGGGATGAGAGTTTTAGGGAGGTGGGACCTGATCAGAGTTGCTGAAGTGTGCAATGCGCAGGCCCCAAGCACAGGCTCATGGAGGCGTGGCTGAGTTCTGAAGAGGTTGCATAGAAGCCCTGATGCCCAAAGTGTGAGTAGTAAAGATTTTCTTGCACTTTTGGTCGATGGATTGATCTATTACCAAGTGTCCTAAATCACTTACACGAATAGCACATTTTAGTTTCCTAAACAATCAGTTGTTTCCCTTACAAGCAGTTCCTTTAAGAGCATCTCCAGTGTGTGACTCTGAGGACATCTCTCTGGGTTGTTCACACGGCTGGCATTCAGCTGCTACCCAATCTGGCTGGGCAATAGGTGGCCGGGAACCCTGTCTCCTAATTCAGGGAAGAGTGTGGAAATGAGTTCCAGTTAAATAAAGGGCCTTCATTCCCAATAGCTCAAGAAGACTCCTGCACGTTCATCTGACCAAAGGTAGCCCTGCAGCTGGACACAGGACAAAGGTCCCGCACTTGGACACAGTGGCCAATTTTGATTGGCTCGTAAGGACCATACGTGTAGATGTTTACCTTTAAAAAGCTGGCATTCGTGATGGGAAAGTACTGCCTTACTCATGCTAAAATTTGCTTGTTAAAATAAAATAAACTATGTTAAAAGCATCTCCTTTGGGGAGCCACTGACTTTTCACCAGCAACTAATAAAATACTTTCCATTTAAAAATTGGCTGAACTTTCCTGCCCTAAAAATTAGTTACATAAAAACTTTTGGGGATGAGATTAAAAGAAGTAAGAGGAGAAAGGAGAAGGCTGTGATAAAATGCAGAGGCAGTGCTTTTGAAGAACATTCCACAGACTTGTACAGGATTTCTTAGGTTTAATTTTCCTGCCGTTTTTCCTTTTTAGACAGAACTCCCAGTGGGTTCCACATACTCCAATGCTGGTGAAAAATTCAACCGAGTGAAGTGGAACAAACCAGAGAAACAGCTCAAACTCCAAATAGTGGAGGGAGGAACCACAAGGGAAAATGCAGGGCTGCCCGTTGGAAGCAGATACACTGACATTACTCGGTCAGCTGTGTTGACAATGTCACAGACGAGTGATCAACACAATTTCAAGAATTACATAATGATCTTAAGTATTTCAAGAATGTACTTTTGGATATTGCTATAAATGTAATCTCCTCAACAGACATGTAGCCTCCCATTATTAACTAAGTGGCTACACTTCTAGCCTTCAAAACAAGACTGAGTTTTGAGATATGATCACAGTGTGGACGTATGCATTTATATGTTCATGTGTGTTCACCTCCGTGACTTACATGGTATATTTGTCTGGATCATAACTGATGTGAAAAACAAGTGTGTGGCAAGTATTGTGGGACTGTAGAGCTGGCTCAGTGGGTAGGAGCACTGACTGCTCTTCCAGAGGACCGGGGTTCAATTCCCAGCACCCACATGATGGTTCACAATCATCTGTAACTCCTGTTCCAACGAATAAGATGCCCTCTTCTGGCCTCCACAGGCACCAGGTACACAGATGGTTCACAAACATACATGCAGACAAGATGCTCATACACAGAAAATTAAAAAATAAAATAATTTAAAAAGCAGTACTGTGATGCCCAGCAGACAGTGCTTGTACTAAAGTCAGTAGTGTTTGAAAAAAAAAAAAATTTTGCAAATTTATTTTTGGAATCTCCCACAGCAAGATTCATCTATTCCTGCACCAAATTCTTTCCTACAATTAGTATGTGGTTCCCAGAAAGGGCAGAAATCTATATAACCACATATTAATAAATGCTAGAAAACTAGATTTCAGCGTGTTTTAGAGCATCAGCTCTCAACCTGTGGGTCGTGACCCCTTTGGGTTGTCTAGCAGATACTTACATCACAACTCTTAATGGTAGCACAATTCCACTTATGAAGCGGCGGTGAAATAATTTTATGGTCGGGGGTCACCACAGCATGAGGAACAGTATTAAAGGGTCTCGGGGTTAGGAAGGTCGAGAACCACTGAGTAACAGATAAGGGACTTGCACGCATTTTGTTCCAAACAACCCCAATCCTGGCCACTTGTCACCAGAAAGAGGGTTCCTGGAAGGCTCTGTAGCTGCTTGGTGGCTTTGCTGGAGCGAGTCATGGCTCGGATGACGTGAACTGACCGAGCAAAGGGGATGCTGGTACGTGAGTGTGTTTGAGGGCCTCCAATCCCTACACAGCCAGGCACTGACGCACGCAGCCTCATGCTTTCCATCTGCCACAGGCCTACACCGTCCCCTGGAATTTGCTTACAATCTGTATTTTCAAAACTGTTTTGAAAGTTATAATTACATAATAGAAAAAAAAATCAAATCCACGATTTTGCAAGTCAAACAGTGCCAGGGACAACTTTAACTCGGATCTACATGAGAATAAGTGCTCATGTCCAGCTGGGCTTTCCTCTCCTGTATCCTTAACTCTCGAGCCCCCGAGGCAGAGGCTCACACCTCTTTGGTCCCATTTTCTGGAGTCTCACCTGGTTCTTCGGGGCTATGATGTGCCACACACAAGTAACTCCCACAGGGTAATCTCGGTCTGGCCAGTTGGGAGTTTTAAAGGAGCCGGAAGGTTTTTCAAGACGTCCTCCACAGTACCGGTCCCCTGAAGTTATTGAAGAGGAAAAACACACAGCTTTATATCCTAACGTGGGTCACAGTAGCACCAGGAGGGCAGGAATGAGAATGTGAGGGGTATCAAATCAAGGCAACGCTAGGGGCTCTTCAGTTTTCTCTTTGAAAAAAAAAAATCACACAGCCTGTTCTACACATATATTTAGTTTGTTTTTGAGCTGGTCTTATGTAGCACAGGCTGGTTGTGAATGCACGATGTAGCTGAGTCCGAATTTGGTCCTCCTGTCTCCACCTCCTTGTGCTGTGATTGTAGGCACGTTATCACCACGCCCAGGTGGCAGAAATTAATAGCCTGACATTGCACACGAGAGAAGGAGGAGCGGACTCAGATGCACAGCTTGTCTCTTTTCGGACAAAAAAGAACCATCGTTTTCCTCTTTTTGGACAAAAAAAAAAAAAAATTCCCATGTGTTCAGAATTGTAGATAGAAGATATATGTACACAAAATTGTGTGTCTATACACACATATATAATAAGTTTTGGAGATTGCTTGGTTTGTTGAAACAATGCAAGTTCACAGGTCTGAGGCATTAGCCCGGTGCCTCAAAATGCCCCAGAACCCAGGTGAAAAGTGCCAGGCATGGTAGTGTGTGCTCATAAGCTCAGCACTGGAGGGGAGAGGGGGGTTGGAGGCACATAGGTCCCTGAAGCACAGCGACCATCTCGTCTAGCAGAGTTCCTATGAACTGACATGAAAACATCCCAAGATGCGGGGTTAGGTAACAAGAGAAAGAAAGGTATGGAATAATATGTAACGTTACCTAGGTTTCAAAGAGCTGTTGTAAAAGGACATGTGTGTGAGCAAATATGGAGAGAAGCCGTAGAAGCCACTGGTCACGCCTTTCCGGAGGGTGAGGTGGAGCAGTGGATTGTACGCCCGTGAAGATACGTGCAGGCTTTGCATTTCTACCCCACAAGTCTCTATATTTGACTCTTTACAAGAACACATACAGGCTTTCCTAAAGAGGGCTGACTTTTAAAAACGATCTCTGGATGGTGTGTTGGCATTCCTTGGCTCTTTAAGAACCGCTGTTATGCTTTGAGGGAGAAAAATTCATATAAAGTGCCAGGAACGGTGCCCGACACACAATAGGTTATAAATCTCCCTGACCCGTCATCACTATTGTCACCGTCCCTGTGTGAAAACGGGTACCTTTTCCGTCTGGTGCAGCGGCGGAGAACGTTGCCATGAAGCCACTTCCAGCGGTGTTGGCGTCAGAAATCATCTGTACCATCATCTTGTTGCCACTGGCTACAAGCGATCCAGGCCGGAACGTGCCACAGAAGCGCCCGATGCGCTGGCCATTGGCATGGCCGTTGTACACGTCCACAAAGTCGTAGCGACACAGGTTGTCGTTCTCAAGATCTATGAATCGAAAATTCAGAACGACCACTTTGCCCTCAGGGACCTGTCAAGAAAAAAGAAGAAGAAGAAGAAAAACTGTGCAAAAGAAGCAGCATCTGAGGCAGGCATGGTGGCACACGCCCGTGATCCCAGCACTCGGGGAGGCAGAGGCAGGTGGATCTCTGTGAGTTGGAGGCCAGCCTGGTCTACAAAGTGAGTCCAGGACAGCCAACACTACACAGGAAAAACCCTGTCTCAGAAAACAAAACAAAGAAATGACCAAACCCGCATCTGTGGCCTGACAGCACTAAAAACAGCAGATTGAAGTAAAATACCAGGCCGGGGATGTGCCTCAGTACACCCTTGCCTAGTGTGTGGGAAGTGATGGGCTCAATCCCAGCAACACACACTCATAAATGAATAGTTTGAACCTGAGGACTCTGGAGAGAGAATCAATGTCAGATCCCACAGAGTGTGGAGGCTCTGAGAAAGAACAAGGCTGCTCCTGCTTCCCCCTTGCTGCTCCTGGTTGCTGTTGTGAGACAAGAAGTTGGAGATCTCCTGAACTGAGGATTGGACTGGCTCCAAGGAACCCGAAGACCCTAACCAGCAGGAAGCAGCTAAGGGGACTATGCCCACTCTCCCACTAACCCTTTCTGTCTCCTACCTGGGGTTGGAGTGTTGGAAGGGATTGGGACAGAGTAGGGAGAAAAAGATAAAAGAAATCTAAATAAAAGAGTTTTTAAAAAGTATGCCAACAGTGAGGTTCAAAGTTAAGGGCTTATTTGGCAATTGTATAGTCAATTTTCAGATAGTTCAGTTGAGGCCAGAAAAAAATATGGTCCAAAATCTATATCAGGTTAATTGGATAGTTGTTTCTTTATTTCTGCTTTAAATCACTAAAATTTAAGACATTTTTATTTGTTGTCCCCAGGTGAAAAGTGTGTTTGCCAAGTGACCCTGAATTACTGTGCTCAGCAATGAATAAAGTAATCTTTCCCCTTATCATATTTTTCTTCATCATAATTTCCCATGCAATTATTATGATGCTTCCATCTTTGTCCTATGAGTAGGAAAGAGAAATGTCTACAAAAGCATTTGGTGGGATGGCTAGTCTTCAGACAGCTCACGTGTCTTTTACTTTTCTTCACTCAAGTTACTCAGTCCTAAATTTCAGAACACCTGTTTTATCCCTTCAACCACATGTGTCCACTGTCAGGATTTTCTTCTGTAACAATGAACTCCTGACATGGCAAAGGTCAGTGGTGGGCATACATACCTAGAAGCCTAAGCTGAGTGGTTCTATATTCATCTTAACTGAGAGCCTCAGAATTAAAGGCCAGAGATACCCTAGCACTAATCTGCTTTCCCCAGAGCACGTTTTGTTTGACTACGGTATAACAATGTATTCAGTGTCATTTCCACAGGGGACAGTGCAGTGGGAAAATCCCAAGAGGGCTGGCTTGGAACTTTTTATGTAACATTGGATGATGTGAAGTTCTGATCCTCCTGCTTCCGCTTTCCACATGCTGTGGAAATGTGCCGCCAGGCTACGATTTATAACATACTAGGAACTGAACCCGGGGCCGTATGTTCACAAAGCAAACCCGCTACCAGCTAAGCCTCAGGCACTGCAGCACTCTGGTTGCATTCTAATTGTTAAAGACTTGCATTAATTATGCAAGTATCAGAAACTCCAGAGATATGATCTAAGAACCTAATAGAAAACACAACCTAGTGTTTAAGGATTCTCACAAAAGCAAAGCATTGCGCTTCAGAGACTTCTAATTTCAAATCCTCTTTAAACACTGTATCACAGACGATGATGCAGGCACTTGACAATTATTTGTTTGGGTGGCAATTGGATGAAGCTGTTGTTTTGCCAGATGATATTGGCTAGGGGATTCATTATCTGCCTGGAGGAGAAACAATCCCATGTCCTTGCTTTTCCCAATCAGCAGCCGTGTGTGGGCCAGTGCCAACGGCAGCAGCAATGAATGACCTCAGCTCACCCACGGCCCCTGGGATGTCCTCATTGTCAGAGGCACGCTTGCCGAGTCACTGATGGCAAGGCTCTTGCCAGCAGACAGGGGAAGCGCAGTCTAAGCTGGTGGTTTGCATTTTCAGGTAAGGCTGAGCAAAATGCAAATCGGCGGGCAGCCTCGATGTGGAGGACACGTCTGTAGAAACAGTCTTGTTTCCAGTCTGCAGCCCTCTTGCCCCGCCCCACCACTCGTTCCTCGGAGAGAAAAGATCTGTTTCTGCAGCACGCTGTCTTTTTTAAAAGGCCATCATTTCCACCTTCTAGGATTACTCTTTTTTACAGACAGACATGGTACTTCAGGCTCTAGCACTCAGAAGAGAGAGCGGCCCACTGTTACCCGGCGCATGCATCCCATATGTAGTCCAGAGGAAATTGACATTAAAAGTCTGCGTGAGTATTTGGCTATCTTTGAAGATGGGAATAAGTGAGAAGCCCTACACGATCTTGTTCATACGTAGCCTGTGTGTATTTCGATACTATATTTAAGGGAAATCTTGTCCATATTTAGGGAATAAAACACATTTTTTTACTGACTAGAAATAACTTGTAATTGTGTGAACACTTCCTTTTTGTCCCTGGAAATTTCACCAAGAAAGTTAAACTCCTTTCCTGTCTAGGAGGGAGGAAACCCATCCACTGGGGGGTCTCTAGAGACCCAGTCATACTCCCCTGTTGGAAATCACCCCAAAACTTTCCTGCTGCATCTGGAACCATAACAAACCTGGACTCCAGGTGTCAGGCCTATTTCTAAACACATATGTTGTATTTCTAAAAACATATGTTATTACAACCATTCCCACTGGCTCCATGAAGCTGATGCCCAGGATGATGGAAACTGAGGCACAGGGAATTCAAGAGGCCGCATCATACAGCCCCGACGATCATAAAGTCTGGCCTCCATGCAGGCCAGGGCCCTTTACTCCAAAGGGCTCCTTTGGGGACACTCCAAAGACGGCTCCTACCTCAGGGCTCGATGGCTCCCCAGTGTTTTCTCCTGATAGTCTATGTCTGATTCACTTTATTTTAGATCTCAGCTCAAGGATTACTTCTTCACAGAGGACTACCCAAGCCCTTCAGGCATCATATACCAACCTATACATATATGCATACATATTTTCATACAATTATATGAAAATGTAAACCCACTTAAAGGTACAGATAAAATCGTTGTTAGTCTTAAGAGCAGGAAGAGACAACGGTTTGCACCTTGCTGTGCTTTCTGTGACCTGGCAGTGGTAGACTGAAGGGAGGCTTCCAAAGCTCATCCCCCCCTTCCCAGACACACAGGATGTCCACATTTCCCAGCCTCCTTTGCAGGTAGACTAAGGTCATGTGAAGAGGTCTGGGCCATTAGTATGTCTGTAGAAGTGTCATATCAAAAATTCTGCATAATCCTTTTGAAGTTCTATTTTGGCTTTAAGAAAAGGATTCAATAGAGGAAACAGGAGGTCATAGGAGAAGACTTTGCTATGCAGGGAAGGAGTTAGTGTCTGAGGACCGCCCCCCAGAGAGCCCCTCAGCCCCTCTGTGATCAGGGAGAACTGCGGGCTGTGTGAGGTCACTGGTTGCTGCTTGGACTTGGTACGTTATGTTAGTGAACTGGTTAGTGTCATGCGTCAGTTTTCCGCCAACACCTCTACGACATGCAGCTGTCATGTTTATTCTAGGTGTCTATTCGTTCTTTATAAACAGACAGCTTGGTGTGCCTTGCAAAGAAAGCAGGTTCTGAAGGCAGCCAAGGGAGGAACAGCTTTGCCCGGCGACAGCTATGTCGATTTCACTTGGCAAGCAATATTCGGTTAAGGGCAACTCAGGTTAGAGAGGATGTGGACGGTCTGGGTCAGTCACAGAAATGAGACGCTGCAGAAAACTGGGACTCACAGTGCTCGCCAGCTTTCCATCACGGTGACAAAATGCCCAAGGTGATGGAACTGCAAGAGAAGAGAGCCTGCGCGGAGGAGGCTCCACCCACACTGGGCTGGGCCCTCCCACGTCAATCACTAATAAAAAAACAAAAACACAAGCACACACACACATCGCAGGCCAATCTGGTGGAGGCATTTTCCCAACTGAGGGTCCTTTTCCCCAAAGGACTCTAGCTTGTGTCAAGTTGACGTAACACTAGCCATCAGAGGCCCCTTTGGTCTCACGGGCCACACTTTCCAAAGGTTTCACCATCCCTAATGCAGTGGTCTTCAACCTTCTTATTGCTGTGACGCTTTAATATAGTTTTTTCATGTGGTGACCCCAAACCATAAAATTATTTTTATTGCTACCTCATGACTGTGATTTTGCTATTATGCTATTATGTAAAGATCTGTGTTTTCATGTGGTCTTAAAGTGACCCCTGTGAAAAGGGTTGTTTAGCCCCTGATGAAGACCTCAATGCACCTGTGAGAACCACTGTCCTAATGGTACCCCAGGCTGAGGACCAAAGCATCAACACATGCATTTTCAGGGCACTTTCAACTCCACGCTTCAGAATACAGCAATGGCTCTAAATTTAGTCTCCTAAATGACGCCATCATTACCATGACCCCTTTACCTGACTAGACAGTGGGGGTGAGGGTCACCCAGCAACTATAGATATGTCTTGACCTGAGTTAATAAATTGACCTCTTCCTCCTCTTTACCCACGTATGTTTTCCCTTCCTGGAATAGATTCTTTCTTCATCTCCAACCATTTGACTCTCATCCCAATTTCAAAGTTGGGCCAAACATCCTTAGGAAACCGCTTCCCATAACCCACATCCCCTCAGGTCACTCTCTAGAGGGAGTTATCATCCCTCTTTCCCCTCCAGAGCCCACGCTTCCTCTCTCCCGTTGGCAGACAACCAGTCAGCACACGTCCACTGTGGTCTTCGGCATGTTCTCAGCCTCACGGCGCACAGCCAGGCCGTTCCCCTTGGAGATCTGTCTGTGTGACTGAAACACAGCAGCCGGGACCAGGCAGCTGAGAAGGTCAGGGAGGTAGAGGCAGCAATGAAGGAAACTTTTCAATCTTCATTTTGTGTAATTCGATCTCAGATGAGCATCATTTTGGGGGGAAGGTATGGAGGGGCTTTTCTGTGCTATTTGGGATCTATCTTGCAAATCAGCCAGTGTTCGTTAAATGCCAGGGAAGCACTATCACAGCCAAAAGAGAGGGAAGAAGTGAACCCCAAGAATGCACGTGAGCCAGAGCCTGGCAACAGCTTTGTACCGCTGGCCTCGCTGAGACGAGAGGCATCACCTAAGGTGGATCTGCCTGTCCCGCCGGGTCTCCCTCGTTACACGCTTTGTTGCATAGTCCATGTGTGCAAGGTTTCTGGACTGTGCTTCCTCACAGGGAGGGGCAAAAGCCAATTTCTAAAGTAAGCCGATCTCTCTGCATCTTCAAAGAGTCACTTTAGGACATTCTTTCAGGTCTCCAGAGGTTGTCAAAATGAGTTAATCCAGGCCAAGATAAACACGATTGGTGATTTGTGGAGGAGAAAAGTGTCCCTACATTAAACAATTAGCCCACGTTATAGCTATTTTTAAGCACAAAAGCAATAAAAGCCAGAGGAGCCTTTTACGAGTGGAATCCTTTTTGTCACAGGGCAAAAGGACCATGTCATTGACTCTCTGGAAATTTCTTCTTTGTATGTGCACAAACTTGTGTGTGTACACATGTGTGGTATATGCAGGTCCTCATACATGTGTAAGCTGAGGTCATCCCAGGCAACATCCTTAGGAGCTTAGGAGTTCTTCAGGAGCTGTCCACCTTGTTTTTTGAGACAGAGTCTCTCGCTGGGACCTGGGACTCTCGGCTTAGGCTGGGCTGAGGGGACAGCAGGCCCCAGAGACCACGGCTGGCTTTCCACACTGGCTTGGGGGCCAGACTCTGCAGCCCTTTAGCAGCTGTGCTCTGACTCAGCTCCTGGTGCTTTCTTCTTAAATGATCAGAAGTGTAACTCCCCCAAACCTGTATAAGGTATAGCTTATTTCCATCCAGTGACATAAAGAAAGGGGGGAACCCCCTGAAACGCCATTTTCAAGAGTTCTCTTGTGATCCGGAATTTAACTGGGTAGCTCTGTAGTGGACCCTGAATATAAAATGATAGTGGTATTTGACCAGGACTGAAGGTCCTTCTGAGACCGGGGGAGTCACATCCATGTAATGGAATAGTGAGAACAGAATACATATGAATGAGCATATGAGTGTCCTCTTCCATGAGTAAACGGCTTTCCGTGGCCGCAAAAAGTTGCCTCAAGAGAGAACTCAATTGTTAGAAAATCTAATTTCCCTGTGAAAATTAATGCCATTGCCTACAACCTACAAACAGAACTTCAGGCTTTCATGAGAAGGACCAGGCCGTGATGTCTTCCTGACCCCTGTGTCTACTCCCTACAACAACCAGTTTAACTCTGTGCCTCTCTCCCAGGACTCGCCTCTTTGTGGAAAAGCAGCCTGTACTGCTTTCCCTTGATTTATCTCCTTTAATCATTACCTTTTCACTTCCTATAATTCCCTCTGCCGCACCATCAAATTTCCGGCTAAATCAATATTCAAAATGTCCCATATCACCCTCACGTAAGCAGTGCTGTCGAGCTAAGTGTTACATTTCTCATAGAAGCTGTTTTCCTTAGCGGTGGTAACTGCATTTCTTGAGGATTGCTGCGTTTTCTGAGGCTCTGTCACTGAATCTTCTCAACACAGGCATCAGTAGCCTACGCTCTCCACTTTCTCCTCGGGAACATCCATTCTGCTACCGTGTATGTCATTACACAAATCTTGTGCTTAAGGGAATAGTTCTACAGAAGAGGGTCACAGGAACTGATGAACTCAAGACTTGTGGATAACCTATGTAATTTGCTATTATTATTGTGTGTGTGAGGGAGAGAGAGAGAGAGAGAGAGAGGCGCATCTGTGAGTACAAGCATGGTCATGTCACAGTGCTGTGGTGATCAGAGGGTACTCTTGGGTGTTGGTCATTACCTTTCCACTTTATATGAGATGGACTTTTGCCGCCGAGTAAAGCAGGTTAGCCCTTGAGTTTCTGGAGGTTTTCTTGTCTCCACTTCCCATCTGTAGTAAACATGCTAGGATTACAGAGACCTGCACCACTGGTTCTGGTTTTTAACTGGGCTTTGGGGATATAAACATAAGTCATCAGGCTTACACAGAGAGCGCTTTTAAACAGTCATCTCCTCAGTCTAATATTTCAAAATTAATAGAATAGTAACGCAAGAACATTGTATTAATTCCTGTTTTCGCTACTTTCTCCTGTCCTGGACGCTAACAACTCATGCCAATTTGGTAGGTGCATATACGCACATTGCCAAGAAGAAAAAAGAAAGTTAGAAAGAAAGAAAGCAAAAGAAAGACATTGCTATTTTGCATTCACTGTGGTCATTATAGGGGAAAGCTGAGCTTCTTTAAGGTTGCAATAGAGGTGGCAAGTCCTACAGGCACCATCAGAAACAGAAAGGTAGTTGGGAGAAGAGGAGCTTGTGTTATTTCATCTTAGGCGACGTGCAGCGAGGCAGAGGGTACAATAGCTTATTTTGACAACATCAGAACGCAATTAGGGTGCTGGTGCAAAGGCCCCAGCCTTGCCGACCTCCAGTTTTGGCTTCTTAACCTGCGCTATCTTGCTGGGAGTCATTTTTTGCCTTGGCTCATCTTGAATTCCAAGGGCAGTGATTCTTACATGCAATGGTGTCATGATGGGGACCACCATCACCAGTCTCCTAGGCAATAAAGAGTTTGTGGGGCCAGCCTGACCCTGGAGAATCAGACCTGAGAAGTGGATCAACCAGGCCAGTGTGACTGAGAATGAGTGAATGCATAGCCCTTTCCTCTTCCTTATTTCTTCCCCCATATAGCTCTAAAGCGCTTGCCAGTGTGAGGATGTTTAGACTGTGTGCTGGACACACTTGTAATCCCAGCATTTGGGAAGCCAAAGCAGAAGGACAGAAGCCAGTTTGAAACCAACCTCGTGCATTCGAAGACAAAGTGAGCCCCCATCTCAAAAAAAGAAAAGAAAAGAAAGCCTTGCCTGTAACCTTAGCGCTTAGAGAGCTGTGGCAAAAAGAATATGACTTCAAAGCAAGCCTGGGCTACATACATAGTGAGACACTGTTTCAAAAACCAAGGGGGATGGATGGGAGGTGAAGAAGAAATCTAACTAACTTTGTTATAAAGTTCTTCAAAATGTATCTAAATTAAAAAAAAAAAAAGTAAATGAAACTAAAAACAGAAGCACAGTATTACAGCATTTAAACAAAAGTCAGAATTCCCAGAGGAGACTCAAGCAAGGAGGAGGGAAGGCAGAGGGTGACTCACTTTGCTCATATGGTGTGACATTTAATTAGATGTTCTTAAATGTTCGGTGACAACACCACACTTAGGAAATACCGTAGAGACGCCAGTGGGTGGGAGAAATAAGACAGAGAAGGCTCGGCGGTGCTGTCCCTGTGCAGCACCTGATGGTCATGGCTACAAAGGTCCCTGTGGGTTCGGGGAATGGTGCCCAATGTGTCTGGCACCTCTCTAGGTGTTCTATCTGTACTTTTATTCTTCAGCTGCAGAGCTCAGCTTTAATTCACAAAAAGACGAAAGCACCTAAGATTCAAAGTCCTCAGATGTGGGGGAGGGGGGGAGGAAGAGAGGGGAGGGAGGGGGGCAGGGGCAAGGGAGGGAAGCCAGACATTGGAGGTGCTGCCATTCCCACCCTACCCCTAGGCCATAATCCCTACTCAAGATTCCAATGTCCCCTAATATCTCAAATGTCCTCAGGCCAGAGTTTTTCTTTCTGAAACCTCACCCCCCTTCATGACCTAAAAAACAACTCCATTTAGGTACAAACCATAACCTCATTCGTTTTGAGCGCACGTTTCAATGACTTTTACTAAATGTATGCAGTTTCGCAAGCACAATTACCATCCAGTTCTAGAACATTTTTATCAGCACCCCCGAACCTCTTGTGCCAGCTGTAGTCAGTCCCTGCTCCCACCCCACAGACTTGCCTTTTCTGAATGTCTGGTGTGCACAGGATCATGAAATGGAAGGTCTTTGCACCTGCCTTCTTTCACTTAACATAGTGCCTTCAGATCAATCCATGCTGCAGCATCAGTGTGTACCACGTTCCTTTTGTGAACGAATAATATATCACTGAGTGGACACGCTATTTTCCCATCCATCAGTTGATTGATATCTAAAATGCATTTAATTTGGGGTTATTATTAACAATGTGTCTATGGCCAGCTTTTCACAAGTCTCGTGAATGCATATTTTTACTTTTCTTGTCCGTAGGGTGTCAGTGCTGGGCCATGAGGTAAATGTTTACCTTTACAAGAAACTGCTTTCTGAAGTGACTTTAACGTTTTTACATTTCTACCAGCAGTGTGAAAGAATTAAGACAGTTTCGGTCTGTCTCTCTCACTCTGGGTGTGTGTGGCGAGTGTCCATGTGTGTGTGCATGTCTGGCGTCTCCCTCAGTTACTCTCTATCTTGTTTTTTGAGATTTTTTTTTTTTTCACTGAACCTGGAGCTTATTGATTCACTGAGACCCGCTGGCTTCATGCCCCAGGAATCCTCCTGTCTCTGCCTCCCCAGCCAGAAAATTATAGGCCTGTCCCACACTTAGCTTTTTATGTGTGCTAGAGATTAAAAATCAGGTCTTCATGCATGCATGGAAGGCACTTTACTGTCAGAGCTGTCTGTCCATCCCTACTGTCTGTCTTTTTGACTACTGCCATTCTCACATGTGTGATTTTAATTTTGTACTCATTGCAGTTTTAATTTACATCTCTCCTGTAGCTAATGATGCTATTCGTTTCTTCACACGCCTACTGGCCATTCATTTTCATTTTGGTAACGTGTTTATTCAAAGGGCTGGAGAGATGGCTCAGCAGTTAGGGAAACTTGCTGCTCTTCCAGAGGACCCAGGTGCAATTTCCAAGCACCAACATGGTGGCTTGCAAGTGTCTGTACTCCAGTTCCAGGAGACTTGACCACCTCTCCTGGCCTCCAAAACCAGCCAGCGTGTACCTGATGCACAGACATACATGCAAGCAAAATACCCACACGCACAAAATTAAAATAAACTAATTCATTAAGAAGAGTTCACTCAAGCCAGGTACACACCTTTAATCTCAGCACTTGGGAGGCAGAGACAGGTGTATCTTGAGGCCAGCCTAGTCTACAGAGTTAGTTCCAGGACATCCTAGGCTGGTACACAAAGAAACTCTGTCTAGAAAAATGGGGGGGGGGGGGTTGGAGTCTTCAAATTTTATCTGACAATTTTTTTTCTAAATTGTTAATCTTAAATCACTTTTAAAACCTAAGTAAAAAGAAAAGAATCAAAACGTAACCAATAATAAGATGAGCTCTGAGGCGCACAGCAAATCTGAGTTTGTACAGCAGCACTATGCCAAGAGGGTGAGGCAGGGCACTGCTAGCAGGCTTCTTTAATGAGATCACTCCACCCCAAACAACAGTGAACTCAGATCCCCAAAGAGAATGCCCAGCCCTGGACAGTGGTTCTCTCCTTCATTTCTC